GCATTGCTTTAACTGGACTTTTTACGTTGACCAGTTGGGCTGCCAAGGGGTGGCAACTGGAAAATAGTTTAGTTATTGAAAAGTTCCGATGTCGCTCCGATCAGTTTCTGGTAACCATTACTTTGGCGTTGTTTGATATGCGAACCTGAGTTCTACCACCTGAACCGCAGTTTTCCATAAACGGTTGATCCTCGTGACAGTATTGCTCAGGTTTGCTTCCCCTCAGATTGATGTCTATTTATGAAGAATAATGTCAGATTTGTGGTCTTCCAAAGTTGATGGTCTCATGGATGATACCTTGGTACATTTAAGAATGAAGTTCAAATTGCGAGCATTTTTGAGTTCATCTTGTGGCATCCTTGCTTAGTTTTCGTGTTTAGGTCCGTACATTTTTAATTTTGTTTCCTCTCTGCTCGTTATTTCTCTTTCCAGTTCGCATTCTTCTTTTTCGTTCATTTTCTGTTCGCAAATCGTTTTATACGCGTTTCTGGATAACTTGATGGAGTCCAACAGGATTTCACCCGAAATTCTGTTCGGAATACCGATGTTAGGACTTGGCACATGGAGGGTGAGACGGTGATGAGCAGGGATTTAATAAAACCCTTCAGTGCAAACCCAAACAAATCTCCGAGGCCGTTTCTTGTGCGATTGAACACGGTTATCGCCACATTGATTGTGCTTATTTGTACTCCAATGAAAAAGAGATTGGCGATGTATTGGAGGTCTTATTTATCTCCAATCGGATTAAACGTGATGAACTATTCATCACATCCAAGGTATGACACGTTTATGAATTCATCCTTTTTCTTAGCTATGGTCAACTTTCTTTCGACCGGATCTCGTTGAGAAATGTTGCTTGGAGAGCCTTCATAATCTCAAGTTGACGTATCTTGATTTATACTTGATGCATTCCCCAATGGCTTTACAAGTTAGCTTGGTTTCGTATCGTGCATGATAAATTTACTTTTAGCCTGGAGATGAGCTGTTTCCTGTACTTGATGAGACTGGTTCACTTGCCTTTGACTCCGTGCCGCTTCTATCCACCTGGAAAGTGAGTCGTAAGTATATACTTACCGCTGGGTTATTGGCTTTGTATTACTGTCGTAATTTTATTTACATTTCACACATGTCTGAGTTCAGACTGTGTGACGAACAAATCGCGGTTCACGATATGCATGTGGACTGAATGCTGCTAGGTTGCCCAGGTCAAGGCGGGTGGATTTTCTTGGGCACTCCACAACCGGAGCCTTCGTCTAACCAAAGCCTGACCCGCAAGGCAGCGGGTCTGCGTGAAAACCACAGTCTATTGAGGGCCGGTGTCCAGTTCATCGGATCATAGACCTTTCATATGGGATGAAACGTCCAAGGTGCCCAATGCTTCTCGATGCCCAATTGGGTCGGTAACCGTTGCCACAACCGGAAAGGCGTGGGTGTGGTTCACAAGCCTCTTCTTGGTTGGTTGGGAATCAGAGTTTTTGTTCAACTCCCCTAGGTGAACTGCCAGTGATCCACCAACCCGATTATAGCTCCGGATGTCCGCTTTTCGTCTTCACCTTGCTGAGGAAGTACCCCCGTCACGAAAAGGCAGTGAGTTGGACTTCATCAACCGAGGCTTCGTTGTATGGGAGCATTTCGCGAGGTGCAAAGGAAGAGTGACCAGCCACAACCCTAGGCACCCACCCCGACCATGCTGACGATTTTGCCGTAATTGGACATGGCAACAATTGAAATAAGATTGTGGATAGGTTAGTAAATTATCATTACGCTTGCATCACATGTTACATCATCTGACGGAAAGGGGTTATTCACAATGATGCAGCGTATTCTGACGAACAATCAAACAGTTGTCGGGACCATTTCAACGTTGACATGGACGATTAATTCTGCTTCTTTAACAACATGGTAGAAGTATAATTGCACACTTGAGCTTTGGCGCAACTATTGAGATCAGGGACTTACATCGAACCAAATAGTTTTCAAACTCGGGAGACGTGTTGCGCAGCATTCCGGAAACCGACTCGATTCCCAATTTGAATAATCAAAATCCGGCCACACCTACTAATAAGGACCATGAGGATTCAATGGAATGCCAAGCGGGACGAGTTCGTTTTCCACCCACGATTTCCATAGCGGGAATTTACTCGTTGTGGGTTGTTGTCTGCGTTTGTCCTTGACCCGGTCTGATTCTTAGACCCGTTGATTCTGCTAGACACTCTTCTGCTGTAGAGTTATTGTAAAAGATATTAAGAATGGTACCGTCTTCTGCGTCCTGAGGACTGCGGGTAATGGGCACAACACACGACAGGACTAACCAAGCTCAGTGAGGTAACTATCCCTGGCCGAATTCAGATAAACAAGTTCGTATGGCATAGAACGACCATTCCTCGGCGGAACGGAGGCTCTGCTTTTGGATACATCGGAGCGGTCCTTCTGCATCTGACCCTAATCGCTTGAATCTGTCTTCTGTAATAGTTTAAGAGACCGAAAAGCGATGAAGGGAAATGCAGATATTTGATTTTTTGAAATCATATCTTGGTTTCACTTTCACGATGAGTTCGAAGTTCGTTGATCAGCTCCAAGTCAGCCGGACAAAGTTAATCCCTGGCATGGTTAGTCGAAAGAGACATTCCAGTATTCTATAGAAGGCACATCGAACCGAAGTGCAGTATACACAAGATAGCCAAACAATGCCAAAGTCAAAGTTTTATTATGGGCGTTTTAACAAAGCTAAAGCTTATCATGCCCCATAGCATTTTTTTCAGAATGTTTTGAATAACTTCACAAAGAGAAAATAACAATGATAATAATGTGCGTGATCATTCACGGATGTTGAAATTTTAAGTGTTCCAATGCTTTATCAAGTTTCGATTTAAATAGTTCAACTGTAGGAGCACACATTACATCAGATGGGAGAGAATTCCATGCGCCGCACACTCTGACTGCAAACGAGTGATACCGGCAATCAAGGTGGCTGTTCTGGGTCTTCACCTTTAGTGGATGTCCCCTGAGGTGATCATTATGAGATAAAGTCAGCAGAGAACGGCAAGGGTGGTTGGATTGATGCAGTATGTGATATGCCAATATTAGGTCCCCTCGAAGTCGGCGGTATTGGGATGAGTAGACTCCCAATATTTGCAGTCTTTCGGAGTATGTCTTGTTATATAGACCTTTCACCAGTTTCGTTGCCAGCCTCTGCGGACGTTCTAGAGCCTTCCTGTCGCGACTTAACCATGGATTCCATACTTGAACGTGTGTGGCCGAACGAACGCTGATAACAAGCATGGGAACAGTGCTCTTTCGAACTGCCCGAAAACACACCTGAGTAGTCCCACTTGCTTAAGAGCCATATATGATGTTCTGACACAGTGCGTGGAACATCCTACGTCCTCCTGTACCATAACTCCCAAATCCCTTTCATCAGTGGTATGCGGTAGTATTTGGTTCCCCAGAACGCAGGAAAAACGAGTCTTATGCCGCATGGAAATGACTCTTTGGAAACGTTGAACTCGATGTCGTTGGCGATTGACCATCGATCGGCTGCGTCGATCGTTTGTTGGAGTGCTATATAATTCTCAGGATGTTACAGTTCTACAGATCTTAGCGTCATCTGCAAATAGCAGTGTATTAGGCCTAATGACATGTGGCAGGTCGTTTATAAATCCAAGAAAGAGATGAGGCCCCAGTACGGGTAGCGATGATAGGCTCTGATAATGAATCACCAACACGAACTGACATGGTTCTTTGTCGGAGAAACTCCTTGATCCAGTCCAGAACCAAACCTCTTACTCCGTAGTTGTAGAGTTTTTGCAGTAGAATTTGGTGGTTTACTCGATAAAATGCGCTCTTCCTCAGAATTTCTCAGTAACCTTAAAGGCTAAATATTTTACTTGTATCTTTCCTTCTATTGATGAGATGTGTAAATTTTTGACTGAAATGCGAACATTCTGTTCTCGCAAAAGTCTAAACAAATACAAAATACAATGCCTTGGAGAAGTCCGAACAAACTATATCCAATGGCTGGCCTGCATCGACGGATTTTTTCCCCTCATCCCGT